TAGAATAATCTTGTAAAAGCATGAATCTGTATGCAGCACTATTCGTAGCATACCCTATAAACACTGCATCAACGGTTTTAGGTCCGATGGTGGACTTCTTAAAATCTGGCAAGCCCACTTTAGCCAGACACCCCCACACTTTCAGGTATTGTAAATTAGGAGCGTATCCTTTCCACAATTCATATGGGGTAGAATCTAATTTCTTATGAGGAACTCGGTTCAAGATATGAGTTGCTGATAGAATGGCCTCCCCCCATATGTTATCAGATAACCCGGAACTTATTAGTAAAGAATTCATCATCTCTTTTAAAGTTCTATTTTTCCTTTCGGCTATACCATTCTGTTGAGGAAAATAGGGGGCTGATGTTTCATGAATTATGCCATTCTTTTCACAAATATCTTTTAAGAAATTAGATCCATATTCACCACCTCTATCAGATCTAACCCGTTTGATTCTCCTTTCTAACTGATTTTCAACTTCTGCCTTATAAATAAGAAAGAAGTTTTCAGCTTCATCTTTAGTTCTTAGGAGATAAACTTTTGTATATCTTGAATAATCATCTACAAAAGTTATGTAGTAGTGTTTTCCTCCTTTACTTTCAGTGTTTCTAAAATCTGCTAGATCAGTATGAATAAGTTCTAACAGTTCAGTCTTTCTATTAGAAACAGTCTTAAAGTGAGGTCTAGTATGTTTAGCTTCTACACAAATCTCACATTTGTTAAAGCTAGTTGTGTCTAGTTTAGGCAGAACATTCATATTCATTAATTTCTTTAAAGCATGAATATTCACGTGTCCTAATCTAGCATGCCACATATCAATGGATTCAACAATATAAGCAGAAGTGGTAGCTTTATTTTCATTAAATTGAGTTTCTATGACAAATAAACCATTGCTTAAAAACCCTTTCCCCACATAATCACCATTTCGGGAAAGTACAAGTTTATCTGCCTCAAAAACTAACTTAATGCCTGCCTTATTCAGAAGCCCACCACTTATCAAATTTCTACGCAAGGCAGGTACATACAGAACATTATTTAAAGCCAGAGTTTTACCAGAAGTCAGCTTGAGTAAAACCTTGCCTTTGCCTAGCACTTCAGAGCTGCTAGAGTTCCCCATGTACACACGTTCACCAGTGTTTCCATCCTCGAACTCGGTGAAAAACTCCTTCCTTGCGCAGAAATGCTTCGAAGCGCCAGTGTCAACTACCCATTCTGAACTGTTCTCCACCAGATTAACTTCTGAGACCACCGCAGCAATGATATCATCATCTTCTTCTACAACGTGCATCTGTGGCTTGTTGTCATTTTGGCGGTCTGAGCGGTGTTGGCATTGGTAAGCTTTGTGGCCAGGTAAACCGCAGACATAACACTTGAACGTCTTTCCTTCCGGTTTGGCCTTTCCTGACTTCTTGAAGTTGGTAGCCTTCTGTGGTTTCGTCTTTTTGTCTTGATTCCCACGTTTCATGATCTTCTTAAATTTAGACTCAACCAAGTTAGCTCTAAAAGATAAATTACTCATAGAATTAGTAAGCTTATCTTTTAAACGGTTGGCTTCTTCAATCTTCATATGGCCCACAAGTTCTTCAAGCGAAATGTCTCTCTTCTTATGCTTAAGAGAGTTGCGGTAATCGGACCAGGACTTGGGCAGCTTCTCAATGAGTACATTGGCTTGCAGCACCTCACACATTTGCATCCCTTCAGCGATGATGTCAGCGACTAAGTTCTCATAGTCATGGACTTGATCCATTATTGGTTTGTCGTCTGTCATCTGGAATTTGAGCCATTCACCGACAACGTACTTCTTTATCCCCGCATCATCCGCACCATACTTCTTGTCGAGAGTGTCCCATATTGTCTTGGCACTCCTTTCTCTAAGGAACATATCAAATAGTTTATTTGACATGTGGCTGAGCAAATGTCCTCGTACCGTCTTGTTATCCTTCTCGTATTTCTCGTAGGTAGCGAGAACGGCGGCGGCAGTTGCTAAGGCATCATCATTGAGGATCGTATCCGCATCATTACCGACAGCTGGGGTTGGTGGCATGGTAGGTGGTGGCTTGAGCAACACGTAATCAAGATCAAGTTGCTCGAAGAATATCAGAATTCTTTGGGACCACCTTCTATAGTTCTTTCCATCAAGTGCATCGAGCTTGGAAAGATCGGGAATGAGTTTGCTCAAAGGTGTCGACATGATTGCAGTTTATGGAAATTCGTTTCTAAATTGTTGGATATATGAACTGCAAAACTACACCGTTAGCACTGACTGAAAATATAAACAGTAATTAAGAAGAACAGATTCGTAAACCGTGTCGTGGTAAGAACCACTGCCTTAGAAACGAATTCGCCTCGATGTGTGTAATCGCTGCAGTAGGCGGACCGTCCCCCGAGGTTAACACGGTCGCTCCAAATTCCGTACACCCGAAACCGGAGTGGACTGCTGGTGGTATTGTACTTCTGATCGGAAAGCACTCAGAGAGAACTCACGGAGAGAACTTTAGAAAACACTTTGTAAGTGAATTGTAAAATGTTTTGGAGTGAGTTGAGAAGCTGAATATAGCTCTCTATTTATAGGCTAGAAATAGGGTTAAAATCGTCCATAAAATTTCAGGATTAAACCTCTTATTTGTAACAGCTGAAACGTCTAGATGAACCTGACTCAGAAATAGTCCAGGTTCATTGTATCATTATTCAGCTGTTATAACTCCCGAAATTATATCATGTAACCCCTGGAATTAAATCAAATAACTCCTGTAACTCCTGATATTAACAGCTTGTCTCCTCTGTACAAAGCTGTAAATCAGTCCAGGTACATCTTAACGTTTCTGATTTAATTTAGGAATAAACTGTTTAATTTCTGATAAAAAATAATAATTCAGCTGTTATTATTTGAAATTCAAACAGTCCTCAGCAGCCTATAAATATCAGTTGATATCTTTCACATTTTCCATTTGTTTCTTTCAAAGAGAAATTCCTCAAGAATTTTCTCTAAAAAGATAGTATCCGCGCGGACGTGTCGAAGACACGTATTACCACGACCACGACCACGACCACGACCACGACCACGACCACGACCACGACCACGACCACGACCTCGACCTCGACCTCGACCTCGACCTCGACCTCGACCTCGACCTCGACCACGACCACGACCACGACCACGACCACGAGCCGAGCCGAGCCGAGCCGAGCCGAGCCGAGACGAGACGAGACGAGACGGACGGACGGCGGCGGCGGTGCGCGAGAGCCCCCCTTGTTCTCTATCACTCAACAAGGAAGTGGAATGTCAAGCCTTAAATACCATTCCCAATAGTGTTTCCAACACTATGTGGGATTGAGCATTACCAACACAAACTACTTGATACTCGACTTGAAAAGCTCACGAGGAACTCATAGATTCATCCGACAACAGATCAGATTCTTCAAATTCGTCTGGAGTTTCTAACTGAATCACATCATACAACTCACCGTTCTCAATCCGACACTCCCCGCAGCTGTAGCTCAAAACCGACACCTTTTCCGCACAGCCAACACAGTCGTAAGTGGTATAGCTCGGACTGCCGGTGTGTTCGTTGAATAGCAATGGATGGTGATGACTCATGTGGTGAAGCTTAGCCATGTTCATTTCTCTCTGTTTCTCTTCACTGATCCAAAATTTTCCAACTTACAAGCACCAAGTCAATGCTTGGCTCCAACTATTTTAGTACTACAAACTCCAGCCGGCCTAAACTATGTTTTTTTCTTCTTCAACATTACTCACAGGAAGTAGTTTGAGTTCCCCTTTATTCTGCAGCAGCAGCAGCAAAGACTTGAATTCCCCCATGATGATCAGAGTTCGAGTGACTCCGATGTTTTCGAAGCATCCCGATCATCGGAAGATTCGAATGTCGATCATAAAAGAAAGAAGTCACAAGGTCCAAGGTGTGTTGCGAAGGAAAGTTCACTTGACATGCTATAGGAGAAACAGTGAAGGCGCTCCGAGATGATCGATTTTCGAGTTTCCCGAGTGACGTAAAACCGGGGTCAAGATGGGTCATGGAAGATGTCCTTCGTTACTAAAAGTTCAATCAAACACCAGACGACGATAATTACAATGACTTAATTTTATCGTAATTAATCCGGATCGATCTATATTGTAACGAGAGTTCTATATATATATATATATATAAAACCTCGAATTCAAGACTTATTTAATGAAATTGTTCTTTGAGTTCATTATGTCTTTATGTGTTGATATGTCCCTTCCGTAAGACTTGTTTAATGAAACTGTTCTTTGAGTTCGTTATGTCTTTATGTGTTGGTATGTTCCGTCCTAAATAGTACAATTGCAATTCACACTTTAATATATATAAGGATAAATTACGTATTTAGCATTTAAACTATTAATTTTGATTTATTTTAGTATTTAAATTTTTAATCTTTTTAAAATAATATCTGACATTTAGTTTTCATTTCATTTTAGTACTTGCTGTTAAAAACTTAAAGCATTTAATACCTAAACTATTAGTTTTTATATGTTTTAGCACCTAAACTTTCAATCGTTTCAAAACTTAATATTAAATTTTGAACGGGATACTAAAATGAAACTAAAGTTTTTTAATGTCGAGTACTAAAATAAAACAAAATCAAACTTTAGATATGATTTTAAAAAAATAAAAATTTATTATAAAATTGATCAAAATTAATATTTTATTTACTAAACTTGTAATTTACCTTAGATATAATGAAACTTTGCGTACCGTTATAAAATTTTCAAACTCTATATACACATTGAAGTATTTCTATACTTGAAGGACCATTGATGATATTATCCCTTTTATAATATCCAGCTGCTTTAAACTTTATTTTTTGAAACGAATGATGTGCGTCTTTTTAAAAGATTTTATTTTTAAAAATAGTTAGTGTGTATGAAAACAAAAAATTCTCCCGTCACTATGCACTGGATTTTTATTTTTAATTATAAAAATAGTGAATTAAAATAATAAATAATCCATCACCTTTTCCGATCTTAATTGTTTTTTCTTTTCGCTCTTCTTTTTTCCGCTGCTTTCTCAGGTTACCAAGTTGGTACGAATCGGCTCGCGGCTTTAGGTCAGTTGAAAACCTCTGTATTTGTTTTTTTTTTCTCAATTTTTCTCGGTAAATATAATTTTACAATTGTACGAACTTGATTCTTTATGCATGCATCCGTGAATCGAAACGCAAGTAATTCCTTAATTTTTGTGTGTTTCTCATGTGATTTTACTGTTTGCTTTGCGTTTTTAATCGTCTTTTCTTCGAGTTCAATTGAAAAAAAACGAGAAGGATGAATAATTGTTGATTTTCTTCTTCCTTTTTTATGATTATGCTGTTTCATCTTGATCGCTGCTTTAAGCTTGGATGCTAGGTGAAATTAGATGTCTGTGAGGCAGTTTCATCTCTTGTTTTAATCGAATTTTGTGTTTGTTTGCATGATCAGGTAATCGAGTTATTATTTGTCACTGCTTTGAACTTGAAGGTTTAGATGAAGTTAGAAAACTTTGAGGCAATTTAGTCTCTTGTGTTTGCATGATCAAATTATCAAGTTGTTTGTCCAGTTGTTGAAAATTCTGTAACTATGTTGTTTCATGTTGATCGCTGCTTCAAACTTTTAGCTTTAGATGAAGTTAGATAACTTTGCAGCAATTTAATCTCTTGCTTTACTTCAAGGCAATTCAATACTCGTGTAGATAACTTTGAGGCAATTTAGTCTCTTGTTTTTAGTTGAAGCTTGTGTTCGCGTGATCAAATGATCAAGTTGTTTGTCCGGTTGTTGAAAATTCTTTAACTATGCTGTTTCATGTTGATCACTGCTTCAAACTTTTATCTTTAGATGAAGTTAGATAACTTTGAGGCAATTTAATACTCGTGTTTTTGTCTGTGAAGTTTTTTCTCCTTAATTTTATAAAATTACTGTTAAATTATTGATGAAAATTAAGCAAGAGTGAATAGTATAGGGCTTTTAATTTTTTTTATTCTTGAATATTTACATTTTGTGTTTGGTTTCATATTGTGTACATTTTCAGGCCCTTTGTTTTGGTAATCTTGCAAAAATAATTTATAATTACTGGTATATTTGTGTTAGGTTAATATCTTCATTTGGAACTTTGAATAAAAGATGTCTACTGGACCAGGTAGAAGGGTTTCGCGGCAAGATATACAACTGGTAAGATGTTGACCTTGATCCTTACAGTTTTTTTATTACATTGTGTATTGGACTCGGGATTTGGGGGATGCGAGCGTGAACCCCTGGTAACTACTGGGGTTCTTCCTTACAGTTATTGAACGATCATGTATAAAAAAAACTGCATGCTTATGCATTAATTTTGTCGTGTATAAAATTAAGTATTATTTATGTCGTTATCCTGTTTCCTTTAAACTTAAATGTCTTGCTAAAGTTATTACTTTATGTTGGGCAGACGGAGTGAGTTTATTAATGTTTTGCTATATTGTAGATGTGTTTGTTTTGTATTTAATTCAAATTTTTGCAAAAGTTCTAATGTTTCTAGGAACTTGAAAATTTGAAGCTGTATATAGGAATGAGCTATTTGCTGGAAATAATGTGAAGCAGAAAAATATATGTTTGGTATGTTAATGAAGTGTATTTAATAGCAAAATCCTTTTATACCGTAAAGAGGAAATATATAAAAGATAAAGGAAAGAGGAATGGATAAAGGCAAAACAGCACAAACTGCATTAATTCCTATTTGTTCTTGTAGCAAAATTAAGATGTATATCTAATGTGTCATTAGTTCTATGTGGCTAGCTGCTGTTCATCTGTTTTTTTTCTTCTTTCCATAAGGGAATTATACTATATTAGATTTGTTTGGCATGTAGGCTCTGAAAGGTAGCATGATGTCCACAGTGGCTAAAGTTGTTTTTGCGCTTGTATGTGTGATTTCAGGTGCAAAATCTTATAGAACGATGTCTTCAACTCTACATGACGCAAAAGGAAGTTATGGACACTCTGCTGGCTCAGGCCAAAATTGAGCCTGGTTTTACTGAACTTGGTAACTATCAGTTCAAATATTTTATTTTATCATAACATCCATGCTCTTTCCTGATTATCTGTCCTTATGAAACGCCCCTAATCTGATAGTGCTATGTTTATAAATCACATATTTACAAAATTTATAAGAAAAATACACTAAAATGATGCTCAGGCTTTGTGTTCCATCTGCTGACTTTTACAAAAAATAAAGAACATAGGTCTCACCACATAGGAACAGGGATTTCAATATGGTACACACTTCTCACATGGTTTGCCTTCCTCTTTCGGTAAAAAATCTGTTTTAGGGGAAGCTGACATAGACTGGACAGTTGAACCCCCTCCCTCCCCCTTCCCCAAAAAAGTAGTACCCCTAGCATTAACTTATTGTTGGGTATGGATTGCTGTGTTGGTCAACAGGTATATTGTTTCAGATCATGATTTCATGAGGGTTTCCAATAGCTTTTGATCATTATATAACATCAACCTTTTTTTTTCCTTTCACGAATATCTCATGCTTGTCAGTTTGGCAAAAGCTTGAAGAAGAGAATAGAGAATTCTTCCAAGCTTATTATCTGAGACTGATGGTTAAGCAACAAATAATGGAATTCAACAAGCTGCTTGACCAACAGGTGCGATTGATGGATCAGATTCATTCAACTGGAGTATCCTCAATCTCTAATTCAAATGGACCTCAAATGCCACCGAGTAAGATTGATTTTTACCCCACTGGACTTTTATTGACATTTTTGTTTAATTGCACAGTCATGTTCCAAATTTGTTAAATTAGCACTTTCTTTGTATGCTATTTATTCTGTTGAGATTTTATTTGTTAAACAATCATTTTACATTTTTCTAGAAGCAAAGATTGATGGTAGTTTTCTTTTGCACTTTTTATGTTAGTATCACTAGGAAGACAAATAAAGAGAAAAGAAATAAGGAACCTTCTTCTTTAACTCCGAACTTGAGTGTTCACAATACGAATGAAGAGTTTGATTTAGCTTACTTCGTATCAGTAACTATGTGTAATTTGGATATAGGCAGGAGTAGATGTCAGGGCGATTACTTCTTATGCATTTATTTGTCCATATCCACTTTTGATAAAAGAGCTGGAAATTTTCTTATTTTTGCACACCTTTGGTTCGCAATCTGTTACATTTTCTTTCTTTAATGGCTCTCGAACCCTGTCAAAGTTAAAGTGAAAAGCACCTAACCATTGAGGGCGATTACACCTTGCTTTTGTCTATTAAATCCCCAAATATTCTTTTGTCTTGCTTGCATTTTTTTTCATGGATTTTTGAGCATGCATCAATCCGTTGTAGATAGATCACCAGAGTGACTGTAGGTATAAGAGTTATTAATATAACTAATTATTCCATTTTTGTAGGTTTAGTTGCTGTTGATCTGAAAACAAAGCCTTTGTTTTGTCCAATTTTCAATTTTTTCGCAACTGATTAGCTTTCTCTTATAGTGCCCCAGAACTCATCCTGTTATACCCTAGAGAACACTGGGCCAGCTCTGAAGCAGGAGGGCATGCACCATCCCATGGGATCTAGTTTGCCTAATGTATTCACTAATGGTAGTTCGTCGTTGCATGCTGGGATTCACACTCCTATTGATCTGCCTACCCATGCCAGCAGGATCGATGCCCCGCTAGGCATGCTTTCAACTCAGAATTCAAACATGGGTCTGATGCAAGGAATAAATGGGAAAATGATAAAACCAGAAGCTGGTTATTCGGCCAGTTCTGCTTACATGTTTGGTGCCGAGAGCAATGTTTTGGAGGCACGCCCAACAATCAGGGATACTTCTTTCAGTACTGTAGAATCAAGCACTCAACCTCTGAATGAACCAGTTCTGGATGCCGACATTTCTTCATTTGGGTTTTTAGGCCAGATCCCTCGCAATTTCAGTCTTTCAGATCTCACAGCTGATTTTTCTCAGAGCTCAGGTCTTTCGCTGTTTGTCATTTGTGTCGGCACATGCATGTTCCCTGTGCTGAATGTATTTTTCATTTTGTCTGCATGCAAGCATGTTTTTTTGCATCCATATCTTGGTTTCTCATCTATTTTAAAACCAGCTATTTAAAATATATCTTCCGTGCATAGTCATGTGTTTTGGCCTAGTTAGCACTAGATAATTTCATATATGAAAATCTTTACATTCTAAGAATAACCTCTTAATGCTATCCGATATACTTTATTTTAGACTAACCTCGTTATAATTTCAGATATACTGGAGAGCTACCCCCACTCACCTTTTTTAGCAACTGATAATGAAACTCTCCTGGATTCTTGTGAAAGAGAGCATCAAGGTGAACCTCGTTACTCCTGTCTCCCAATCGACAGATTTATATTTCGAGTTTTGTTGGTTCTGATATACGAAGAGCATGACGTTTTTGTCTTTGACTTGTAGGAGACAACAGAAGGTTGGACACCATATCAGAGGGATTGAGTTATGAAGGATTTAGAAATGAATAGCCCTACAGCATTAATGGTATTGCTCTACAAATATAATTACTTTATGTTTTTATTTATCGGCTGTGCTAGCAACTGTTTCGGAATTTAGTCGCCCATTCTTTTGGGACAAGTTTTTGCAACCGTTACGATTATGAAGTTCTACTATCATGTGTTTTCTTGGTTCCATTTCTTTTGTTGATAGATCTTTGGTTCAAGCCATGAATATTTTCAGTTAAATATTTCTACCAACTATTACAATTTTTATTTTATCCGGTTGAAAACAGTCGCTTACGGTGCCATATCGTGCAACGCTTTACTGCAGGTACAACTGGCTCCCCTATGTAATAAAAGGAATTTTGTATATATAGCATTTTAGAAGTCAACAACTCGACTGCTTTGATTGATGGATAGAAAGAAGTTAACTGACATGATCGGTATTAGCATGGTTCGGAGAGGGGAAACAGGTTCGAAAATGAATTCGAATGAAACATACAGTTTTTCTTTCGGTGCCAACAGGAGTCCGTGGAAGCGACCGCTTTGCCTTGGAATCTGTTGGCACTCTAGTTGTGTGTCATTTGCCTTTGTGATGGTTTTATCAAACAGGTAATCTGGGAATTTAATTTTTGTTTACCATATAACTTATATATATATGTTTGTGTTCTTGGGAATCTTCCAAAATGGTTTGTGTGGTGTTTACTGCAAGTTTGTGAACCAATATGCAGAAATAGGAATACAAGACGCTTTTATGGTATGGCTTTAAATATGTGGTCAAAATACGATGTTAGTCCCTGTGCTTTGATTGAGTTTCGGATTCAGTCCCTATACTTCAGAAAGTAAAAAAAATTAAACCTTTGTCTTCGGTTTAAAAGTTCTAATTCAATCGTTGACACTTTATAATTTTTAAAATGTTTTACTTTCGGTGTCGGTATGATTTTTCGGGTATTGATTATTGATAGAAAATTCAAATGGAAAATGGTAATGGATTTTTAATAGAAAATACATAGAAAAAAATCTAAAATATACGATAGTTTTAAATTTTCAAGAGGGCTTTGGTCCATCCTTGTATGAATAGAATCTTCGACTAGACCTCGATTTTGATCGATATTTTGAAAAATGTCCGGTAAGACTTTGAGTTGCACGGATGTAATAAAGTCAATCCCATCCTCGATTTCAACTAATATATACAAGTAGGAACGAACGTTGGATTTTATGTTAGGAGAATGAATTTTAATTTTTAAAATTTCATGAAATAAACATATTAATAAAATTTCAAATTTTCAACGAGATAAAAACTGATTTTCAATAGAAAAGTATATAAAAAATGTAAAAAAAATATCAATAAAAAATCTAAAATATATAATTACTTTAAATTTTCAAGAGCTATTGTCTCCATTTGCTTCTCCGGCTTTGGTTAGACCTCAAGTTTTTGACATGTTTAAAAGAGATTTATATTTCTTTATTAAATTAATCATAATTATAAATACAATTATGTACTGAATTTTGATCAGCGCCAGACAAATCCAACCATATAAAACATTGGTCAGCAAATAATATCCAAATGTATAAGAAAACAATCCAAGGGGTCTTTTTTATATATAAAATGATGAAAAGGGAAAATGAATTACAATTTAATAATTTGAGATGTTTTTATTCTCATTGCATCATCAATTAACAACTTCATCTATGCAATACAATCTGTAGCTACTGCCGTTAATCAAACCACAGTTACATTCTCTTATCGATAAAAAAAAATTGGATTGAAGTATATAAAAGGTGTCCAACCTATACTCACTTTTTCAGTTTAATGCCTAACGTTTATTTCGTTTCAGTTTGATGTCTAACGTTTCATTATGTTACTCAAAATGGGTCAAGTCGTGAGAGACCGTTAAGTTTGACCGTGTCGAAGTTGTTCAATCGCATCATTCTATATCTTACTCCTAACTTAAAACCCCAAATTATAAACCATAAATCATAACTCCATAACCTTTAAATCATAACTCTATAACCTTTAAATCATAACTCTAAACCCTAAAATCTAAGTATAATTTAATGTTTTAAGTTAGTGGTAGGTATAAAATGATACAATTAAACAACTTCGAAGGTTAAATTGATGCGAAAATATGATAGGAGCGAAAATGATAAGTTAAGCCTACTACATGAGCAAAAGTGACCCTTAAACCAATAAAAATATTTTTTTTAACTTGTCAGTCCTATATGATCTTTATTGTATTTAATGTCGTACATTCCAAAATAAACTTTGAGTTGTCTTATTGGACTAAATAATTTATCCGCCTTAATTATTAGACTAGTATTTCCCTCATTTTCATTACTTTTGCAATATTATTTTTAGAGATCCTAATATCTTTAAATGGCTGTATTAGAATGGTGCTTTTAAGGACATGAGCTACAATGTTATCAAATTATAATATTGTATTATTGATTATCATATTCCAAATTTTATATAATCTATCTTACACATCTCGTAATTCTACTTTAAAATCGAATGATAATTAATTTTACGTTCCTAATTAAATAATTAATTATCATTAAAATCTTGAAGAACCATCTTTTGTGATAATTTTTTAAAATTAACCACTAACATGTGATCTATTGACGATTAATTCAGATAGGAACGACCCCTAAGAGCTGAGACAAATCTTTTTAATTGAAAGAATTTAGAATCTCATTCCAATCACAAAGTCGACTGTCCTTTTATCTCTGAGTTCCAAGTTTAGGAGTAATATTCAACAAGATTCAACTGTGTAGAGACCATTTCAAAATTATATTATAATTTAAGTACCTTTTATGAATTAACCCAATTAGTTTTAACCTAAGCCTTTTTTCCTAAAAACCCAGGCATCAGCATACTGCTATCTTCTTCCAAAACGCGAACCGACTCTTTCCCTGTCCATCAGTTTCTCTCCGGAATCAACATTTCTTTTGTTCTCTGATTTTAGGTAAATCAAATCAAATAACATCATTTCATAATTTAGGGTTTCTTTGGAAAAAAAGAGAACTTCTTTAAAGCAAATATACTTTGTTCTAAGCATTTTTCTTTTTCGCAGCAATCATGGCGGACGACGAAGTGAAGGATGAGATCCCGGAAGTGAGTCCTTTTATTTTAAAATCCCCCCTTTTTTCCTGTAATTAATTCTCAGAAGATTATACTGGTTCGATTTTGGATGTTTTCACATATATTGATTGGTTTATTTTTATTTTGATTGACGTATTTGCTTCAGCTTACATCATTCGATCCTACTAAAAAGAAGAAGAAGAAGAAGGTTGTGATTCAGGACGCTGCTGACGAGTCTGTCGATAAGTTGGCTGAGAAAACTGAATCCTTGTCAGGTATTTTCTCCAACTATTCATACAGATAAACTTTGCATATATGTGTGTGTGTGTGTGTGTGCTAGATAGAAGTAAAAATACAAAGGGTTAAAAGAAAATGGTGAAAGTATGAACTTGTTGGAGTCATTAAATGTGCTATATGTTTTGTTAGGAGACTTGTTATTTATTTTCCTTTGCTTACAGTTTCTGAAGGGCTTGACTTCAGCACCATGAAAAAGAAGAAGAAGAAGCAAGTGAGTTTATGGCTTTAAATTAATAGATATGTTTTTTTTTTCTTTCGAGTAACTAATATGATATTGTGCACTGTGATACTGTAGGTAGAGACCAGCACATTCGACGATGAAGGTGGGGATGCTGGAGATGATTTAGATGGTAAGATTTTCTTTCATTAAATGGATGCCATCGGTCTTGTCATGAAATCTGTAATTAATTTGTTGTTATTTGTCTTTTTACTACTTAACTAGGTCATATAGACGGGGATGAAGAAGGTGATGATGTTCCCTCTCGACCACGCTATCCCTGGGAAGAAAGTGACCGTGATTACATATATGAGGAGGTGTAGTGTGTATCCCTCTGTGTTGTTGATATTGCATGATTTATCTTGTTAATTATGGATTGGATATTCGTGGAATTATTTTGATAATGTACCTATGAACTGTACTTGGTGGAATGTTAAATTTCAAACAAGGTTTTGGAATTTCACCATTCCCGGTGATCCGTTTTGGAGGACTTTTTAGGTTTCCCTAAGACTGCTGATTGAATGGCTGTCTTTGTATCTTCACAAATCTGGAGTGATTGATCTCGATCTTATTTGGCTTGAAGTTGTAATTAGTGGCTAGTAGAGCTCCAAGGCGATTGACTATTCACTTGTAACAGCATACCTGAAAATTATCGAGTCTACATGCTATTTCTTCTGTTGTACCATTGATTCAATCTTCATTTGATGGGATGAATGCAGCTTCTCGGTCGTGTGTTCAACATTCTCAAGGAGAACAACCCTGAGCTTGCCGGAGATAGGCGTAGAACTGTTATGAGGCCTCCACAAGTTCTTCGTGAAGGAACCAAGAAAACTGTTTTTGTGAATTTCATGGATCTATGCAAGACGTATGCTACTGTCCTTTTTCCTGTTTTCTGTATTCTTATTCATATATGTATACACAGAATTTGTTTCTGTTTGGGATGGCTGAGGATGACATATATCCTTTAAGGGCCATTTTAGATTTTGGATTTTTTATATTTATTCTATAAAAATATATTGCTTGCATGTTGGCCATGCTCGGTGTTCTTTGACCATACTGCCTTTTGATGTTGTCATCACAAGTCTTTGACTTGGGAGTTAATGAGATTTGGGGTTTATGGTTAAGTTTACTATTTAATGTTGTTCTATATGCAAATTAGTTTCATACGGACACCACATCTTTTCTAACAAATTCTTGCATGTAAAATCATTTAGAATGCATCGGCAACCAGATCATGTCATGGCCTTCTTGCTTGCTGAGTTGGGGACAAGTGGATCACTTGATGGGCAGCAAAGGTTGGTTGTGAAGGGAAGGTTTGCACCCAAAAATTTTGAAGGGATCCTAAGGCGTTACATTAGTAAGTGCCCTTTTTTGTCCTTGTAACTTATAGGGTTAAATACCTCCTTCATACATGAAGTATACCGAATTCTCAATTTCATACATAATGTTTAAAAATTCTCAATTTTATACATGGTGTTTTCTGCCGTTAACGGGTTCTCCCATTTCAGTCACCTTCCGTGACGTGGCACTAAAAAATAAGGTTAACTTACACCATTCATTGCTCAACTATCTTCTGTCTCTTATTTTTTTCATTAAAAATTGAATTTTTATAATTTCATCACTGAACTTTGACATTTAGTCACTTAAAAAAATACAAAAAAATCCATTTAATCATGAAGTTTATAATTTAAACGGTTAAGTGACTAAATGTCAAAGTTCAGTGATGAAATTATAAAAATTCAAATTTTAGTTAAAAACATAATATATAGAAGATAGTTGAGTGATGAATGGTGTAATTTAACCTTTTTTTCTAAATATTTTTTAAAGTGCCATGTCACGGAAGGTGATGGAAATGGGTGAACCCGTTAATAGCAGAAAACACCATGTATGAAATCGAGAATTCTTAAACATCATGTATGAAATTAGAATTTGGTATACTTAATGTATGAATGGGATATTTAATCCTAGCTTATATTGAGATGGTAAAGAATGTAAACTTAAAGCAGGAAATATTTCGGACTGACTGGTAAATTCGGTTTCCACTTAACAGATGAGTATGTTATTTGCCTTGGATGCAAAAGTCCAGATACAATTCTCTCGAAGGAGAATCGTCTTTTCTTTCTCAGATGTGAAAAGGTAACATTGTTACATTCTTCTCCAGCCCCTTCTTAGATTGGCATGCTATTAGCCTGCCTTGGGTGCTTATATATCTAGAGCTGTTTTCTTCCCATTTTTTTTTATTGATTTGGTGGTTGAACAAGTTTGGGCTGTAAACGAGCCGAGTCGAGCTCGAGTATTGCTGAGTTGGACTCGACCCGGCTCGAAAAATTGCAAGCCTAAAATTTTCAAGCTCGACACGAGATCAAAACCATGAATTAAAGCTCGAAAAGAAAAAAAAATCTTAAACTTAACTCGATCGAAACTCAGACTCGAACTAGAACCTTAAATATATGAAAACTTCATACTGCATTTTTTTTTAAAATTAACGCCTAAATGTTAATATTATAATAATTTAATTTTTTTTAAAATAAATCTTAATATATTATATTTTCGAGTTGTTCGTCAGCCTTTCAAGTTGAGTATCAAGTTGCTCGTTTCGGCTCGTTAAGAACTCGATTCGAGTCCATTCGAATCGAGTATCTATCAAGCTTTGGTCAAGTCGATCGTGAGTAGCTCACGATTTATCTCGTCTCATGTACAGCTCTAGGAACAACCAACTTCGTCTTCTCACTATGTTAAACATGCATGTAGTCAGTATATAGCTTTGATTCGAATAATGCAACTAGCAGTTAATCTTTGCTTTTAGAGGCTTATGATGATTAAAATTGCCTACATTTCAGATCTTTCTGATGACATGAAAAGAACAAATCTGAGCCTGGAATTGCTTGTGAATCACTTGGAAACTTATTTGTGACTGTAGATATTATGTCTTACGCCTACATTCTCATATAGTTTTGTTAACGAGAAATTGCTCGTTCTGAAGCTCCCTTGTCGACATTCTAATGTTGCTTACATTTTGAGTTGTTTATTCTATTGAAGGTCTTGTTTTACCTGTTCACTACCTACTGTTAACTAAAATGTCTCGGTCTTTGTAGTGTGGGTCTGGACGATCGGTCGCTCCGATTAAAGCTGGTTTCGTTGCTCGTGTTGGCCGTAGAAATGCTGGCACTTAGGCTTCTTGATTCGGCCAAAACGATATCCGGAGGGGGGAATTTAGGAACACCGGGTGTCGGTACTCTTGATGTTGAGATTTACTCAAAAGATAGTGTTTTGAGACTTGCGATTTCCTTGTTTGACCAACTTTTGCTCATACTGGAATATATGATCTAAGAATGACTTGAGTTTTATTATGATAATTATTTAACGAGGAACACATTCGTCCGAGTAAATTATTTTTTTTTGGTTAATTTTTTTCAACTTTGATCCTTTTATTTTAAATAAATATATGTATTTGTACGCTATTTTATTAAATCAATCTTTTTTTAAAAAAAAATTATTGGTTTTCAAGATTTGATTTCTTGGCGTTTGGTAATGACAAGTTTTAACTAAATTTGCAGGCGAGGCAAATCAGATCTTATTTTGGGGGTAAACTTTAGTGTTGGTTTTCTGCATTTGCAAGGTTTGAATTCAAAATTTTATTTAGTGAACACAAATCACTTGTTTCAATAAACATGAACACGTTCAAATAGTTGCTGTAACGTCGTATTGAGTTAAAATTTATTCGACATGCCATACTATAGTTAAAATGTACTCCAGTTGTTTCATTAAACGTGTCTCTTTTGAATTTTAAAATTATCGTATTGAGTTAAAATTTATTCAACATGACATATTAAACTTAAAATGTACTCCCATTGTTTCATTAAATGTGTCTATTTTTAGTTTTAAAATTATCTCAAATGTTGTATTACAGAAGTTAACAAATAATAAACATGCATATTTCTTTTTTCTTTTTTTTGTTATGTAATGCAGAGGTGAGGGTAACTTTCCTCTTTCAGTCTACCCCATTCGTAATCTCCATGTTGGGATAAGGGTGAAATAGGTGGCTTGATTAGGGATGGCAGCGGTTCGGTGCTTGGGTCGTTTTCAGAGAAGGTAGGGAGATGTCCTCCTTTACACGCAGAGCTATTGGCGATCAATAGAGGGTTGATTCTTATTGAGGAAGTTGATTACTTTCCAAGTCAGAGGATCATTTTGGAATCGGATTCTTCTAATGCTCTGAAGTGGATTAATAATCCGAACCTTAGTACTATTTTGTTTCAATCCTTGGTAAGGGATATAGCTACCATTGTGGAGAGGAAAGGTATTATCACAAGGCATATTTCGAGAGCAGCAAATTGGGAAACGGATGAATTAGCTAAAGGTGGTATAGGTTGATTTTTAGGTTTGTGTAGTGCTTAAAGGTGTTATGCCTTGGTTATTCTTATTAAGGGAGTATTAGGGTGTGTTATGTATTCTGAATTATGGTTAATTTGTTTTGTAAGGAGTTGTTAGTTGTTGAAGTGTGGAGGTGTATTATTGTTCCCATTAATAAAAGTTAAAGGTGCTCTTTTTCTCTTTCTAATGTCCTTCATGTTATGTTTGTAACATGTAGGATATGAAGAGATTTTTTAATGAAGTCTTATTTTATATAAAAAAAAGTTAACAAATAATAAACATGTATATTTCTTTTTTCTTTTCTTTTTTTTGTTATGCAATGCAGAAGTGAGGGCAACTTTCCTAATTCAATATACCCCATTTGTAATCTCTAGAATTCAAATCTTTGGCATTTCTTAAGAGATTAGTGTTTCATCCCACTAGACCAACCGATTGTTGATTTTACGTTCATTCTTTTACACCTATCAAAATAAATCTGTTAAATTCATCAATAAAATTTTAAAGGATAATTTTGTCATTTCTATTAGTTTACATATGATCAAATTTATCTTGTAAGACTACATATTTTATCCACAATAGACACTATTAAATAGGACAAGTAATAATTACGTTGAAACAGAACATAGCACGACAAAGGCAAACGCAGTTGAATATTTTTGTCAAACAAATAAAATCGAATATTTTAATTAATTCATTCAAAAATCAATTAACAGCATTTATTAATAAAAGAACCAAAGAAAATCCATAAAAACGAAAAATACATAATTTTGTTGTACCGAATTGAATACTTACTAATATAGCTCTGTTAACAAACCATACCAAATCCAATTCATATCAAAGTATTATACAAATGGCTGTAGAACCCTAGATGTTACAAAGATGCATAGAAAACAAATTCAACTCCTGGCTTGCTCCTATTCAATAACTCAAATATGTGTTGCTGAATAATTTTCATTGTTCTACCTGCAAATTGTGGAATATTTCATTATATGTATGTATGTAAGCATGCATGCATGTTTCTATAGTGTATGTAAAAGAAATTAAAGTATTTCCAGGGATAGGCGCGGGACTCAAACCTAACAAATTTCGATTCAACCCGATTCTATTGAGTTTTTTTAAAAGAAAATTAGATTTTCTCATATTCAGATCTAGAATGAAAAATATCTAATCAAAAAAATGTAATTATAAGTTATATGTTTAGAGATAATTGTTCTAATACTCCTCTCTATATTGTTTTTTTAATTAAATCTCTATTTTATAAATAAAATTATGAATTATATATATATAGCGGTAGGATCTCATTACACAATGTAAAACTCTTTTAGTTTTACACATATTTAAAATCATTTGATGAGTGAACAAATGGTTTAGATTAAAAGTAGGATATGTAAAGATACTTGCTAAAAAAACAATCAATCTCAGGCATCTATTTTAACTCATCCAACGATCCTAAATATGTGTAAAACTAAACAATTTACTTTGTGTAATAACCCATATATGAATGTGTGTGTCGGATCAAGTCAATTGTGGTTTTATCTCAAAAGACAAATTGGATTTTGGGTCGGATGAAGTCATCACCCTAAACCCAAATCAGATAGAATTTCGAGTGTAGTTTTATCATGTCGGATTTCAAGTGTAGTTTTATCGAGTCGAATTGGCCAAAAATCTGACCATGACCATCCCTTACTATACCCAACAAACACATAACTTATGAACCTACCTTCCTTCTTGACCTTATAATTCTCTGGGTGATTGCGGGCAAGGGCGTCTTCAGATCTTTCACATGGCTTCTTGTAGCTCGGGATCGCGACGCCGCTATATTAGCAGCGTAGTATTGTTACTAGACACATTTAATAAACCGAAAAGAGCAGAGTTATGAAGCTAAACTTACCTTTCCTTTCGACTCTCGATGATTGAACTTCAGTATCCTCTTCTTGTTCAGTCACCTCACTCGAAGCTCCGGAAGGTTCGACTGGCTCGACAAGTTCACGTCTCGGTTCGTCATTCGAAGTCTCAGGTTCCTCTTCCGAGGATGTATTGGCGACCTCGCCATCTGTAACGCCTACAAGGTTATTGCGTGAGCAGCAAGAAATTAGAGAAAGTCACAGGCACATGGTTAAACTCATGAACCAACCTTCAGCGACTTCAGATTCTGCACTTTCTTCTCCGTCATTTGCGTTCGTGACAAATGCTTCAACCTTTTGCCGATGTAGTTCTGCATTTTTGGCGGTGACCTCTTGCTCCTTCCTTTCGTTGTGGAATTTGTTGAGTTTCTCCTCGAACTCCTCGATGCATACTTTCAGTTCTGGTTTAGCAAACTTCTTACTCTGCAAGCGATGCGAAGAGAAAATGAATCATTCGATCCGAGTTCAGGATAGCGGCCAGGGAAGACTCGGAAAGAAAAGAGTACCTTGTTAATTATGTTCCTAAAATGATCAATCACAGAATCCTCAGATAGGGCATGTTCATAAGTTTTGAATGACTCTATGAGCCTTTTCACTCCCTTTTCGGTGAATGATAACTGAGCAAGACAGTAAGAAAGATTCTCCCATTGCACAACATCTGCAACAAAGACGAACCATTTCGTAAGCAAAATCGAACTTCGACGTTCATAATACAGATGCATCTATAGTGTTATTGTTTATTTGCAATATGAAGCAAGGTATCAACAAAAAGAAAAGCTGCAGCCTGTAAGAATCCTATAAACTATAATTTGAACAGAAAATAACGTTAGCTAAATGCTTCCAAGATCCTTATCATTATCATTTAACCTTTTTCAACCGAATATCAGGAACACGGAAACAATAATATTCGGAAGAGGGCATGTAAGAAGGATATCATCTGCAATGAATAAATGCAAGGAGAATTTAATGAATCAAAGATTGCATACCTGTGACTCCACTAAACCTATTGCAGAGCTTTTCAACGAGCGATTCCATTTGTTTGTCCTGAAAAATATTATAGACATCATGTTAACGAGATCATAAAAACCAGTAGTGTCATTTTTATCTAGAAAAATATTTACCTTCTTGATGGAACCGATTAAGAACTGCATTATGTTGAAGAAAGAGTCTTTCTGCAGGTGTTGGGAGGATAACTTGCCGAGGATATCTGGGAGTAAATTATATATTGGATTGCTTCCTGCCAAAAAAAAATTGAAATATAATTGTTATATACTTATTCGAGTCGAAGAAACATATGTTAGCCGTTTCGACAATTGGAACATCACAATTCACCTTTCTTTGACAACTCATGGAAAAAGAGTTTAGCCAAACTAGAGATCCTCTCATCATTGTCTTCTACTCGTATAGCCATCTCATTTATGTAACCTTTTACCTGATCCAAACATGCAAAGAATTAGATCCCTAAAGCTATCTAATATATCTAAAGTTAAAAAGAGTATGCAGACGATAGTCAGCCTGTCAGACCTTCATCATGTCATTTAGTATGAGATGTGAAAGAACCAGAACAGCATTCTTCCTAACTGAAACTGAAGGATCCTTCAACCGAGCATACATGTTCTCTGTCCATGGTTCTAAGAGATTAGGAAAGCGAACAGCCAGATCTCCAAGAGCAATGGTGCAATTAGAACGAACGGTTTCTGATGGAGCATTCTCCACGACAGTGAAGAGAAGTTGGAGATTTTCATCACTGGAAAACAATTCAATAAAATAATCAGGCATGAAATCTCCTTTGGACTCATAATGGCAGATAAGAATCTACAAGTTGAGAGATTTACCAAAATTTGGCATCTATAATCATGAATCGACATAAAGCAAGCATTGCAGAGGCTTGTAGTACTGGATACTGAAACAAAATTGTCAAGTCAATTTATTGAACAAGGTTTTGTAACACCGAGAAAATAACAAACATATATGCAGTCCAGTACAGATTAAGAGAAGTAACTTCATTTTGTTTCCATGAGAAGCTAAAATGATTTCGTTTTTTTCAGTCAATTATTG